AGAATAAATCTATGTTGTTTTAAACCACCAAGTTTGTGGTCAATTGTTGTAGCAGTGATAGGGAACCTATACAGTGATTCAAAGTTCACTGCCTCTGCAATGTTTCTTTTAAAAAGAATTTCAGAATACACTACAGAAAAGCAAGACAACAGAAAAAATTGACAGAGACTGTCTCCTTTTTCAAACTTTAGTCAGGCCCCTCCTAACCCTCTTCCTGATGAGGCCTCATCCTGTTTCCAGCCTGCCTAGCCTAGCTGTAGCAGGAGTCCCCCCACACCCTGATAACTGGTCACCCTGGCATACCTTTACCCAGAATCCTATTCAGTCAGTGTAGGAAGGACCCCGGTACCCTTGATGTCACCTCTACCCACTGAATCCTTTACTCTGCCTGTTGGCTATTACCCCTACTTGTTCTTACCGTTTGGAGGGGAGCCCAATCTCTCTCCCCTATTGCTGACCGTCTTGACCCTAACTGCAATCGTCCTGAACAAAGTCTTCTTTGTTGTTTTAAAAAGTGCCAGAATAATATTTTCTTTGACAGAATCAAAAAGAGGGGCAGACACAGGATCCATGAAATCTCAGGGGGCTAAAATTAGACATTTCCAGATGCCAACTGTGTAGCTGCCTAGAGAGCAGCCAGCCTACATTAGAATAGGGAATACAAGGTGTCTTCAGGAAGAAAGTGGGTATTATTAGTGATACAGTAAAAGCTTATACATGAAAGACTCCAAAAAGAGGGTGAAAGGACTGTTAGAAATCTTAGAACAAGCAAAGCAGAAAGTGCTAAAAGTCACAGTCAAATATAAAGAAATGTACAAAAGGCATTTGTACATTTGAATTGGATGGCAAATAGGAGAAATGAATTCATGTGACCTCGACACTTTCAACAGTAGGATTTTACTTCCTTCCTATGTACATCATAATATTTGAGACTGAAGTAAATGATACTGACATTATTATGATTATGTGATACTGACATTATTCTGATTACATAACAATTTTATTAACTTTTAATGTTCACAAGCAACTGCAGACAAAGTGTCCAAAACCAAACTCTGATCTGCACACACAGACCCCACTCCAAACCTAAGCCGCCTTCCTAAAAGCAGGTACTGTGACCTAGGACAAACATTCTCTGCACTGTACAAGAACCTGCGTGTACCCATGCGCGCACACACAGACGTCAATTTCCCTTTTCTAGTCAAAAACTAGAATCATTCTATAAATAATTCTACACCTTTCTCTTTTTCATTTAACAGTACATCTTAAAGATTGTGCATATCAACACCTATAGATCTACCCAGTGGTGTGCCAATAAGGGCTTAGCAACCGATTCTTAGAGGGAAGAAGTAAGGGCTCGGCGACCTGGTCTGTGGCATCTCCCAACTTCCAGAATGCCACTATCCCCCACTGTGGTGGCTAATGAGCAAGCTACAGTGCACTGTCATGAAACAGAGTTCAGCTGGCTCAAATACTTCAACAGATCTACGTCAACCTTTCCACAGCTATAAAGCTTCCTAAATGCGTTAACGTAATCTATTCGACCAGTCTTCTCTAAGGAATGTGCACTAGGATAAAATGAGAAGCCATTTTTAATGGGAGTTAAAGATGAAACATCATGAGGTAAAGAGCTTACGAGGCAGCGGTGACCAAAGGCGAGCGGAAAAACAGAGGAAGCAGAAACTACCAGGAAGCTGAGAAAAAGCAACTGTTGCAGAGAGGAAAACAGTACTGATGTGCAGAGCAAAGCGAGTCACCATCGCAGAGACAGTTCAGTCTAAAAAAAGAGAGAAGGACCTCTCCCTGAAGCTGCTTCATGCTTCAGTTCCCAGTGGCTTTCACTTCCTGCTCAGTACAAAGAACGCTCTTTTTTCTTGAAATAATTTGAATAAGTTATTCTTGTCCACGATCTGTGTTCCTTCATTCCACCACATCTTTCAACCAAAAGAGGCCCTCTGCACCAAGGGTGCCTACGCAATAGTTTCAGTTATTTGTGATTGCTTTCTTAGCATGCCGTGGACTAAGACATATCAAAAATAAGGATTCTTTTCATGATAAAATCTTAATAGGCACCACTGCTAAATTTTGTCATGCTCTAGATCCAAGGCTGGAAGGAATACTCGAAGGAGGAATAAGCAGAGTTAAGCACATTAACACTAAAACATAACTAAAAACAAATAAAAGAAAGGAAGGTGCACTAGTCACAAGAGAACCTGAAATACCACTTATTGTAACTGGTCATTCTGTGTAAGATGACATTAAGTGTGGGCACCTACAAGTTCCAAATACCCACCCTCCCCCCAGCCCCCCAGAGAAAGCTTATTCTGAAAAGGCACGCCAGGATCCCGTGGGACACCGACCACCTGCCGGTCCCATGAGAACCAACCCAGTGTCTCCTCGCGCCCCTTCTACCCCCTCCACTGCGAGGTCATCAGTAATCCAACATTACTTTGCACCCCAGCCAGGTCCCACTTCCATCTCTCATAACTTACTTAATTCCATATTAAACAATGTCTTATCAACAACCGTACAACCTCCAAAACCTTCTTCTCTCCTTCTTCCTCCCTCCACTAGAGTTAAGAATCTTAGAAAGTCATTGGCTTCCTTCTCTCTCTCTCATGTTCACTGGGAATAAGACAACACAGATTTGGGTCATAGCTGCAATTATAAAACTACTATAAATAATCGTGATCAAGGAAGGGACAGCCAAAGGCTAGACACTAAATACATGCAAGAACCAATTCCATAACCCAAAGTCTTCAGAAATGCCCAGATTAGCTCTCAAAACAGCCACACAAGTGTCCAAACTGATACCCATAACACCTCATTGAATATACTTATTGACATGTCTACTTAACCGTAACCTCCATGAACAAAAGACAGTTATCTCATTCATCTTGGTATTGCTAGTATCTATCACAGTGCCTAACAGAGGGGAGATGCTCACCAAATATTTCTTAAAAGATAAAAATAACTCCTCAAAATTAATTACTATTGTGAACTATTCAACTAGCTAAACACTTAATATATCAATTCATTTTTAACAATTAGATTTTTATTTTATTTAGTTAGGTGGCCGTTAGCAGGCCAGGGGAGGAGCTGAAGGGGAAGGAGAGGGAGAGAGAGAATCTCTTAAGCAGGCTCCATGCTGAGTGCAGAGCCTGACAGCGGCAGAGTTCAAGCCCATAACCCTGATCATGACCTGAGCCAAAACCAAGAGTCGGACGCTCAACTGATTAACCCAGGTGCCCCAACAGTTAGATTTTAAACTATTATCCAGATATACTTTCACTGCAAAAATATACCTTTACTAAAGATTATCAGCTTTGTTTTTTATTCTATTTCAAGTAGCATTAAAAATTTTATTAAGACTGTAAAATTCAGATATGAGAAGTCACAATTTATTTCTAATTAGCACTTCTGTTTACTTACAAGTCCTTCATATCCATTAAGGAAGAAGGAAAGAAGGAAAGGAAGGAAAGGAAGGAAGGAAGCAAGGGGATACATCGATCGACAGACAGACAGACAAAGGAGGAACCTCTTGAAAGATGAAGAAAACCAGAGACTTGTGTGTGATGTTTGTGTTCCAGTCTCCTCCTCTCCTCACATCTTCCTTGATCTAGCTCCCCAATCTACTCACAGAACATCACACTCTCACTTTCTTGACAGGAAGGTCCTGTTCACTTGGCTGAGTGTGCTACCCTTATGCTTCAAGTCCATGCGGAGACGCTTCAGCTAGAGGGACACTCCAGAACTCTCCCCCCACTCTTCCCTCACTCCTCTCATGGGCGCAGAAGGACTTCTGAGGTTGGCCTGGTTGAGCTCCTTGCTCTCTCTCTCATCACTCTGGGTGCCTGCCCTCTGGTCTACCCTCCATGCATGAAGGCACCTGGCCTGAGGGGAGGCCTTTAGTTGCTCGGCTATGCTAGTCACCCAGCGGATAGGTCTAAGTCAAGATGGGCTAATAAGCCCTTTTCACTTCAGATCTAATGTCATGTCCTCAGATCAGCCAACAGAGGAGACATTTTGATCTCCACCTGTCAGTCTCTTGTGTCTTACTTCTCAAAGAGAAGAAATGGTATCACTATGGGTTCCCCAGAACTCCCCAAATCAGACTAGAAGCTCCCACGCTTATGTGTAAGGTGATTCACAGAGAAAAAGGATATGGAGTGATGTAACAATATTTAAATACCACTACTACTGATGAGAAGCATAATTACTAGCTGTTGAATATGAGTGCAACTCCCACATTTGGGGGCAGGGTTGAATGACAAAATTGCCAACAACAGATACTTAGCACCAAGACAAGCTTATGAGTCATTTTACTCACTTAGATCCGCCTACAGTTGCTGGCAAACTCAGGATTATACCTTAGCTGCTTTTCCAGTAGTATGATTGTTTTAGAAGATGACACAAGACTCATTGGTAACAACTCCCTGTTTGTGGATCCTTTACAACCTGTCTAGTCAGAGTTTACTACGTGCCAGACACTGTGTTGAGCATTTACTACATATAACCTCATATAATCCTCACCCAACCTACTCTGATAGTTGTATGTCTATCCCCAGTTTACATAAGGGGAGCCTGAGGTGTGGAAAGGTTAAGTCATTCCGGTCCTGGGGAAGTAAGGGGCAGAACAGGACTTAAAAGTCAAGACCATCTGACTTCAAAGCCCTACTTCTAACCACCAAGCTATTTTGCTGAATTACAAATGGATGATCTTTTTTATATTTCTTCTCACCTCTGCTAGTCCTTACATTTTTTTTCTTAGAAACAAATGTATCTATGATTCTTATGGATTCTTCACAGTTGCTTTCTACTTTCCAGCAGCCTTCAAAATTTACCACACTGAATTGTTACTATTTGTGCAAAATAGACTCCAATGATGCACAGAGTCCAAGAACCACTTAAATGAAATATTCTTTGTGATCCTAAGCAACCATACCTCCTAGAAGTTGTATGTTTTAGGATAATAATAGGAAATGTTCAAGAAACATGTAGTGCTCCCTTCAGCAGCACACATACTGAAAAACTGGAACGATACAGGGAGGATTAGCATGGCCCCTGCGCAAGGATGACACGCAAATTCATGAAGCATTCCAAAAATACACAAAAAAGACAAAAAAAAAAAAAAACAGCCAAAATATTTGACCGACTAATCACCATATGGATACTAAAGTTAACTCTGCTAAAATACTTTATGCATTTAGTAGATACTAACTCAAATGCCCCCACAATTAATTTCTGATTATGGAAAGAATTCTGTTGAATCTACTTCATTTACTTGACTTTCACAACTCTTTCAGCTCATTCAGAACTTTAAGCATGTACAGTTATATTCACTACAAGTTCGTGTTGAATTCCGCCCATTGGGTACTAACGAGAAATGACACAATTACAGCAGATTCTTATAGACCACATATAAGACAAAGGGAATGGAAGAGAATTCATAGAAGGCCCACCTTAATAGTACATAACTAATTCCACAGATAATTTGGCAAACCCCGTTCTCAATCCGATGGTAACTTTTCCACTCCTTAAATCAAAAAAGATATGCAAATAACAAACTGTGCCTAAAATGGCATACAAAAACAAGAACTCTGTATCACTTAGAACAACAGAGTAGCACACAGAAAGAATTGCATTAATACATTTTTTTTAAAGAAGTATGACAATGCAAGTATTATTCAGTCCCTGAATGGCCCTTAGATTCAAATCAGAATATAAGGCCATTGAGGAGTGCCTGGGTGGCTCAGTCAGTTAAGCATCCAACTCCTGATCTCAGCTCAGGTCTTGATCTCAGGTTTGTGAGTTCAAGCCCTGCACTGGGCTCCAAGCTGGGCATGGACACTACTTAAAAAAAAAAAAAAAAAGAATATAAGGCCATCGAATGCCAGCAACTTGGGAAATAATAAATATTAAGTGTTCATATCACACTGAAGCTGTCATTCATTCAAATAATTTTTTTTAAAAGTGCCCTAAGCTCCAAGCACAGCACCACATAATTCTCATAACATAGAGTTGCATTCACCACCTCCCCTAACAAAACCTATGAACATCATATATGCATATCTCACATTTGTATGTATGTTTAATATAACACTTTACATGATTTTTTTTAAAGATTTTATTTATTTATTTGACACAGAGAGAGAGCGAGCGAGCACAAGCGGGGGGAGCGGCAGAGGGAGAGGGAGAAGCAAGCCCCTCACTGAGCAGGGAGCCCGATGTGGGGCTCGATCCCAGGACCCTGGGATCATGACCTGAGCCGAAGGCAGATGCTTAACCGACTGAGCCACCCAGGCGCCCCATTCTTTACAGTTACTGTTATTATACCAATAATTTTATGTCGGGGTGCCTTGTATAAGTGAGATTTATTTTATATAACAAACATCAAAAGTGCTATACACATATGAAAGTCACTGATCAGGAGACTAGATAAAATAAACATCAACCAAGAGTCTGGCTCATAATAACAGCTAGCATTTCTTCTGCACAATCTAAACATCCTATGTATGCTATTTCATGTAGTGACCTCACATCCAAACTATGAGGTAGGTATCATTATTGTTCATTTCACAGACAAGAAAATTGTTAGGTTAATTAACTAGCAAGATCACACAGCTTTGAAGTTATAGAAGTGGCATTGGGACTAAGGCAATAAGGCTCCAGAGTGCTCTTAATCACTCCACGTAATCTTTGGACAAATGAAATGGCAAGCAAATGAACAAAGGTTTGTCAAGAGAATCTGTCAAAAGGGATCCTCAAAGTAGCATTAAATCAGGGCAAGAGGCCAAGGAAATGCCCTCCAGTCAATAGGAAGCCAAGGAGGTGGTTTTGAAGAGAAAACTGGCCAGAAGATGTAGCGAAAATGAAGGCTACTCAGGAAGGAGTAAGAATGTGCTTATTAAAAGCTCATGTTATTGAGCTTTTATTACTCAGCAGGCCCTGTGCTAGGTACATACAATATCTCACTGAATGTTCAAACAGCCCTATCATCATTTATATTTTACAGATGAGAAAATGAAACTTAAGAGGTCAAGCAACTTGTCCAAGCTATGTTAAGGGTCAAAGCCTCAATACAAACCCATTATCTGGAAGGCTACAAAGCCTGTCCCGTTGCCCATTATTCCACAAAAGTGAAGACAGAAAGAGAATATATCTGCATATCTGTAAATTAATAAGGAATACGCTACCAAGAAACTAAGGCACCGTAACCAGGAAGTGGGTTAGCTGAGTCAGTGTGCTCAAACCTACACGTGTGCTGGTTGTGTTTCCACAAGTGAATATCCTCCTCCAATAAAAAGAAAAATCTTCCTAGATCTGAAAATGACTTCCCAGAATTACTTATTCCGTGCACCTTCAGATACCCAAGTTCTCAAAATTTCCTTCCACTGATACCAGAAAGCTGCCATGGAGTTTTACGCACATAAAATGCATTTTCCTAGTCTGTGATCATTACAAACAAGCAAGCAAAATTTTCCAAATGTTAAATTGGAGCAGCTCAAATTGATAGAATTAAACCTTTTTTTTTTTTTTTTTTTTTT